TGCAAACTGTCCTTGACTCCAGTTCCAGAGGAATCCGAAGCCCTCTACTGACTTCCACAGCATTGCATGACCCTGGTTCACTCACATACATGCAGGCAATACACTCGTACACATAAAATAGAAATAATAATAAAAATAAAATATTAAAGTGTTGTTTAATATGTAAACTATATTGCTGTACATTAAATATGGTTTTTAGAAATTAAAATAAATGGGGCTGAGGATATAGCTCAGTGGTAGAACACTTGCCTAGCCCATACAAAGCCTCAGGTTTGGTCCCTAGCACCTAAAAATCAACCCCAAAATTTTTTAAAATCTATTTAAATATGTGTATACAGTTATTATTATAAAACAGCAAAAATTTTTTATAATTTTTTATTAGGTATCAAATAAATATTCACCCCTATTTTATTCTATGTTTTATGTCCTTCCACTTTTCAAATTCAGATATTACATTAATTTTCAGTTTATTTTGATGTATATAAAATGTATCTAACAGTCAATTCTCTCAACAGAATTTAATGAACATTCTAAACATTGTCTTTGACATTTTCTTTATATACATTAAATTTGGACAAAAATGCATGGACACAGTCTCGTCTACTTCTGAGCTACTAATTGTGATCTATTAATGTATTTGTGTATTTTTAATTAATTTATTATTATTTTTATTTTACATGTATGTGTGTATTGCCTGCATGTAGATAAGTGTACTTGTGTCATGCAATGCCCGCGGAGGACAGAAGAGAGTGTCAGATCCCCTGGAACTGGAATTATGGACAGTTTTAGCAGCCTATGTGTGTGGTGCTGGGAACTGAACTTGTGTCCTCTACCAGAGCAGCTAGTGTTCTTAACTGCTAAACTATCTCTCCAGTCCCTAATTTTTGTTTCTGGAGGCAGGTAGTCATGATGTAGCCTAGAGTATCGTTGAATTTGCCCCCTTCCTACCTCTTTCCTGAGTACTGGGATTATAGGTATGCCCCACCACATCTGCCTCCAAAGTTTAATTCTAGGCTCCACTCTGAAGTTCTTTATTAGTTTCTTAGATATTCAATTGGAAGCCTGGATTTCAGGCTTCACACACACACACACACACACACACACACACACACACACACACACCATTGATCAGATTCTTTACATTTTCCAACACATTCATGGAGTTCCAGAACTTTCACTCAGAAGTTACAAAATAAATACTTTAGTAGACTATGTAAACCCGTTTTCCAGGGGTAGGAATGCGGTGCATGGACTCCCTTGGAAGTTGGATTTCCGAGCATGCTTGCTGACTCATGTGGCAGCCCTGAGCCCACCCCTGTCATTCCATACTTTCATGACTCTGAACGAGGAGCTCTTGGTTCCCTGTGTGCATTTTAAGCCATCTTGTTAAACTTTTAAGGACACCAATTGAATCTTTTCAAACATTATTTTCTTATATCCATGATAGAGTTGTGAGTGACTGCTAGAACCACAGAGGAAGCAAGTGTCAGCAGTGTGAGCTCCTCTGAACAGCTCTAGCAGTCCATCACCAGTCCGTCCTTCCTGTCTTCACACCCACCCATGCTCTGTGAGCTCAAAGGACATAGTCCCTTGATTTCACACTTGGATGAAGTGATGCCACCCTCTCAGAAAGTGGGTGAGTGACTTGCCTGAAGCCAGAGCAATTGGGCCTACAGACCATGAGCCGAGTGTAGCATCCCAGACCAAAGTCTCAGGCATCCTCCCACCCCCAGCATCTGTCAAGAATATTTAAATATGTGTATACAGTTATTATTATATATATAATACATATTATATATAACAGTACCCTTTTATTTTCTTTGCATTGATGGCTAGTTGACAACTGGTGACTTTTCTCACTGCTGTGACAGAAGCAGCTTATGGCAGGAAGGCTCTATTTTGGTTCATGGTTTTGGAGGATTTCCGTTTCTCATGGCAGGGTGTGAATAGTGCTGACAGTGGTTCATGCCAGGTAGGTTGGGCCTGAGAAGGTTAGCTATATCATGGCATCGGATAGGAAACAGAAAGTTCAGCTGGAACCAGAAACTAATTTAACCATTAAGGTACCCGTAGTCATCCACCTCAGCCATGTCCAAAGGTTCCTCACCTTCCCCAAACAGCACTATGAGCTGGGGACAACCTGTTCAAACACGGGAGCCTGTGTTGAGACACTTAAGCTGTGGCAACACTGTGTGCACGTAAGTGTCCAATGCCCTCATGTACTCTCATACTATTTCCTTTTAAAGAAAAAGTATTTTTCCATACAGGTACTTAGAAACACTGACCTCAGATGCTCACACTCAGCTGTCAGTCCTTCATGTATTATCCCTGGCTAGTCCTACTTCTGGGAATAAAGTTGAAGTTATGGTACACCTGACACCGGTCTAGGTTCTCAGCCTATACAGATAACACTATTAACAGCTTCTGCCTCAAAAAATTAACCAGATCAGAGTTTACAGGTATCATAGCTTCAACCTGTCAGAGCCAAAAGGAGGCTGACTGGAGCACATGCTATTTCACTGTGGACTCTTCTAGAAAGACAAAATAGCTTTGAGACAATAAACTGACAAAATTCATACAAAGCCACATATGAGTCTCAAAATAATGGAACTGGAATGAAAGTCAGACCATCAAAACAGTATATGCCATTACATCCAACTCTGTGCAGTTGACAGTAGTAGAAAGGTGACTAATGATTCTCTGGCATAGGGATGTGGTGGAAGGGACAGAGTGGAACAAGTGATCACAGGTCAGTCGATGAAAGGAAGCTTAGGAGAAGAAGACAAAAGTGTTTATTATCTTGACTAGAACACTGAATGACTTAAATTTGTATAGTTTATTAGATATTGAAATACACAATTATCTCTCAACACCCACAGGGGATTAGTTCTAGATCCTTTCCTCAGGATAACAAAATCTGTGGATGTTCAAGTCCCTTATATTAAATGGTGTAGCATTTGCATAGAATCTGCACACGTTTTCTATACACTTTAAGTCATCTCTAGGTTATTATAAAGCCTACTATGGTATAAATGCTGTGGAAATAGTTGATACACTGTAGTTTAAGAAATAGTGACAAAGGAAGATATATAGCCATATTTTTTTCTAAATATTTTCAGCCAGAGTGGGTGAACCTATGGATTTGGGATCTAAGAATATGAAGGGCTGTGTGTGTGTGTGTGTGTGTGTGTGTGTGTGTGTGTGTGTGTGTGTGTGCGTTACAGGAATCTGGGCAAATAGTAGGCAAGAGGCAAAGAATTAAAAGAAAAAAGATATGACAAAGTGCTTGGGAGATAAAATCAAGGAATTTTTAAAGGATTCAATGAAAAGCACCATACAGAGCAGAATGGGGTCTAACCTCATTGAATTGAACAGAGTCTTTCAGAATTCACTGTGCTCTTAAGTACCCTGGGGATCTTGTTACCATGCAGATTCAGACTTGGGAGACTGAGTGACACCTGAGATCATTTCCATAAGCCCACACAAAAATTAATGCTGCTTGTCAATTAGTCCTTCTTTGAAGAGTGAGGGGCCCCAACATTGGTTGGATTTGAGAATCAGTAGTGGGGGAGATAAGAAACAAAACAAAATCCCCGTCTGCGTCTCATGCCACCCTGGCAGTTCTGACTTAATTGATTTCGAGTTCAGCACAGATGTGTTAGCTTCTAGCTGCACTGACAAAACACCTGTGACAAATCCATTTAAAGGAAGAAAGGTTTATTTTTGGCTTATGTTTTGAGATATTTTAGTCTGGTCACTTGGACCATTGCTTTGGGACTGTGGTAAGTCAAAACATGGTGGTAAAAGTGGATGATGGAGGAACCTGTCCCCTTCACGGTGGCTGGGACGGGAAAGAGGAAGGGACCAGGGTCACAATGCCCATTCAAAGGTACTCTGTTAATGACCTCATTTCCTTCCAAGAGGTCCTACCACATACAAATTCTGTCATCTCAGTACTGCCATAGGCTGCCAGCCAAGCCTTTAATGTATGGGCCGTTGGTACATTTAAGATTCAAACCTCAACATTGGGAGACTCAGGAATATTTATTTACTTACTTATTTATTCTTTGAGAATTTCATTGACTGATCATAATATTCAGTCAAAGTTGAGCATTGCTATCACAAGATAAAGGAGATTTTTTTCTAAATGGGTCAGAGAATGAGGAAGACATAACCCTAAAAGTTGACAGAGATGGTGGATGATTTGGGACAGAAAAACACAATAAACCTTCCCCCCCCTTGCCAAAATTCACCTTATTTTCAGTAAATTTACCCAAATGCGATTTATACCTATATGACCCTACCTTGTCTGGAAGATGCTTTGCTGGGCCTAGAAATAAGTATCAGATTGATGACTAACTAGGTAGGTGGGAACGAGGCCTTCCTGAGATTGCAGGCCCCAGGAAGGCTTTGCAATGGACAAGGCTAACTAAAGACTGTGTACACACAGTCTGTGTACACACCTACCAATGCATCCACAAGGACTTCTCATTATAAGGTAACAACCTATACCCTGTCTCCTTCAACTCCATGGGCTGCCACACAAGGATGACAAATGGTACTCTCATTTCCCGACATGCCCCAGATTTATTTCAAGAAAAAAATTTCAATTCAATTATTTTTAAAATTAGTAGGTTGGAAATGACTTTTTGACCTGTCTTGAAATTTTGCCTCAGCATCAAAAAATCTGATTCTAAATCCACGGATGCACCAGACTCATAAAATGTTTAATGAAACGTGTCAATTTAACTGTGCTTTGAAACTTGTAGAGCCAGAGTTTGTCAGCATTTTGCTGACAAATGTCATCTTTTACAGATCTGATCTTTGTTACTGATTATGTTTGCTGTGGCTAAAAATATTGGGAAATGAGCTATGCTTTGTGAAATAAAAGACATCCATTCACTTGGTAGATTAAATTTCAATCTAGTAATAATGTCAACTTGCAAATGTTGGAAGTGGGCTGGTCAGGTAAAGGTGACTGTGTTCAAATCCTGATGCAGAGGATGCTGTATATCTGGATGATGAGAAAGAGAGAGAAGAATACATCCTTAATGACATCGGAGTGATATTTTATGGAGACGTCAAAGACATCAAGAGCCGAAGCTGGAGCTATGGCCAGGTGAGCCACTTAAAATTTGTCATTGTCAAGGACATTTTCACTTAATATTTTTTGTCACATTTATTACTGTGCGGTGCCATGCATCGATATTAGACAAGCACAATTTCCTGCTTTTCAGGATCTGAGACTTCAAGACAGAGCACAAGGGAGTGGAGACTCAGAGAGACAACTGCATAATTTATCAGCTGAACTCACCTCTTCTTTTATTACAAAAGTCCCCAAGATCAGGGAGCCTATGGACGCCATGCCCATCACTGAGAATACTTTGGCATCTTAGAAACTGTGGAAGCCTCATTATTTCAACCTGAAATGGACTGAAAATTTCCTTTTCTTATAAAGACACTTATTTTTTGTCTTTTTGAGACAGAATCTCCCTGTAGCCCCAGCTGTCCTGGAACTCACTATGTAGACCAGGCTGGCCTCAAACTCACAGAGATCTGCCTGCCTCTGCCTCCTAAGTGCTGGGATTAAAGGCGTGTGCCACCACGCCCAGCTATAAAGAAACTTATAACACAAAGAATATTGTAAGATATGTGCCCAACTTAAAGGAATAATTTTCTTTAAAGCGTGAAGCGTGATAAATCAGTGGAGAAAAAGCACTTGCTGCCAAGCCTGATGACCTGATTTCAATATGAAAATCCCATATGGTAGAATAAAAGACTTGACTTCCCCAGTTGTCCTCTGACTCTTTCACAGGTTCCCTGGCACATGTGTGTGCATAAACACACACACACACACACACACACACACAATAAATTTATAAATAAATAAAAATTTTAAAAAGAAAAGTCACATATATATTTAAGTGAAAGTCTAGGATACTGTTAATTAGGAAAGAGTATCATCCTAGTTTCATTAAATAAGAGATAACTGAACTTTTCCAGAAAATATCTAGAGACATTTCATCAGTTGCAACCTCAAGTTACTATCTAGAGCTAAAGTAATTAATGGCAATTCTTGAAGATATTCAGTAATTCCAACTATTCAACTTAGTATCCTTAACACTGGATTTAAATGAATAAAGTTTTGTTCCATCCATTTCCATAAACAAATTCATGTCCTATGACTTAGACATGTTCTCTCCCTAGTGACAGGACAGGAGATGGATGTTTCATTTCTCAGAGTGTTTTGGCAGATGCCTGGAACTGGGCATCATTGCTTTGGGTGTCCAGGGTACAGATCTCGTGGCTTCTGACCCCACCAGATCCCATGATACTTTCTTGGCTCCTGATGTCTTGCTTTGACTTCCACATGAGATCTCCCTGTGTCCTTCACACAGTCTGACCGTTAATCCATCATCATGAGCTCTTCTCCCCATGCCCAGTAACCAGGTTCACTCTTGCGCCTAAGAATTGCATGCTGCATTCAAACTTGCCCACCTGCATCTCTGATGTCTTGCCAAGATGTGGTCTTTTGTTACTTGACTTGTTTTTAGTCATTTACGGCTCTCTAGTTACCAGCCCGCCTCTTCTTAAGTTATACAACCTTTGACTATTACTTATTGCCTAGTACTCTTGCCTTGAATTTCTATGTCCTAGCTATGTCTGTTTTCTGTTGATATTACAGAAAAACTAAGGCTGGGTTCCTTGTAGAAGAAAGGTTTGTTTATCTCATGGTTTTGGAAACTGAGAGTCACAGATCTGTTCAACCTTGGCAAAAGCCCCCTTGATGACGTCACAACTTAGCAGGGAAAAGGAAAAGGTGCAAAAGGGACCAAGCACATGGGCTGCCCTTGTTCTATAAGAACCTGCCTGGGAGAGGGGAGGATTACACTCACTCTCTGAGACCAGCATCAACCCCTTCTCAGAGCCGTTGCTCCTCTGTGACATTACCTCCCATTAGGCCTCATGTCTTAAAGTTTCCCCCACCACAGTACTACACCCCTGGAGACCATGTTTTCAGTACATGAGACTTTGGGGTCCACACCCAAACCATTTCTAAGTCACATCAGGTATGAGTCCACTTGTGATCCCAAAGTGACACTGTAAGGTAAAGGGAAGCCATCAAAGATGTCAAGGAGAATTGGGAAGACATCTCAGGCAACCTCAAGTTATGTCCGCCATCATACCTTTGGGTAAGCATTCCTGACCACAGGCTCTATATCTTTATGCAACGAGGTCACTAACTTAGGTCCTTCTGCTAAGCCTGTTATTTTCAAGGAAACAGGGAAATAATGACTTTTCTGATGGTTTTGTTAAAGCTGTGGTTAGTTGCTGTCATGTTCCACAAACACAACTGAAATGTGTTGTTTAATGAGATCCAGAATAATGAGTTATTTGTGTACTCAGAAAACTAATTATTTGTATACCTAAATTACAGATTACTACTTATCTCCCAGCTGTCTGGATACACCCACATTCAAATTTTCTAGCTAGATTCGATAAACAATCACATGTTAATTAGCCATTAAGATTGTAGTCTCTGTCACAATACTTGGATAAATAGTTTGAAAGGTTTCTGTATTTGAAGGAAACTTGTACTACATTGCAGTACAGTATAGGTTTAAAAAAAATCTCCCCATATTGCCATTTTAAAATTTTTGGTTTTTCTTATGTTTCAAGAAAATTAGGGTAATACCTGTGATCAGTGGGTCTTCCCAAGGAAATGTAACAGGCTATTTCCATGGGATGAAGCAATCTACCTTCTTCAAGCCTCCTGCCTTCTCTCTAGCCCTAGAAATCACATTGTCTTCACTACATGAGGCTGCTTCCTGGGCCAGAAGCACACATATATCTGACATATCTGAAAGGCATTTATTTTGCCCACTGAGCCATCTCACTGGCCTCACAATTACAAAAAAAGGAATCATTCCTTTAAGTTGGACACACATCTTGTAATAGTCTTTGCATTATAAAAATGTCTATAAGGAGAGTAAATTTTTGGTCCATTTCAGGTTGAAATAATGAGACTTCACTGTGGCACGTGACAGCCATTTATTTTCAAGATACACAATGACTCAAGATACTATTGAAGTCCTAAGACTTTCAAGTGGTATTGGGGAAATCAGTTGGTCTTGTGGGTGGAGTAGTGGTGCTCATTGGTTAGAAGGATCTTCTAGATTAACTTGTACAGTTTCCTGAAGAATTTTAAGTCAGTTGTGGTCCTGAGTATGCCAGCTCTCTAGTGGTTCTGTTCCTATTTCTGGCTTCTCTTATGTTCTTCTTCACTTTATTGAAAAATAAAAAAAGACGCACCTTTTTGTCTACCTTAATATGTCACGCTAAAGATTATGGAGTTCACGCTGTAGGAAATCCCCATTTCTAAACACTAAGTTTTGATTTCATTTTATTTTTGCACATAGAGTATCTTGTGCAGAGTAGACAATAAGTTTTTTCTCAATGTTTTCTTCCAAATAGTTTGAAGATGGCATCCTTGATGCTTGCTTGTATGTGATGGACAGAGCACAAATGGACCTTTCAGGCAGAGGGAACCCCATCAAAGTCAGCCGTGTTGGATCTGCAATGGTAAGCATCAGCTACTGCTGTTGAATTAGATACTGAATTAATCACATTAATATGTAGTATGTGTTCCATTTTCCTCAGAAGTCAGTTCATTAAATCTGTGGAAATAGTGACTTATAATACATAAACTTTGTTAGAGTCTGGCATGATCCCCAGTCATTCTTAAATTTTCTGCTTTTCATGTGCTAGAAAACAAAATTTTTAGCTCAAAGTGTATTTTCTTTGTCTTCAAATAAAAGGTAATAGACAGTATTAAATAGATATTTCTTTTTTATTATCTTTTACTTATTTTATGTGTGCCACAACATGTGAAATTCAAAGGATGACTTGTGGGAGTCAGTTCTCTCCTTCCACCATATGGAACCCAGAGATTGAACTCGGGTCATCAGGCATGGGGGCAGGCACCCTAACCCACTGAGCTATCTTGCCAGCACCTGAGCAGTTAAGAATCCCTTATTTGGGTACTAAGAAATGACATGACAAGAATGCCAAAGACTATAATCAAATGATCAGTCAATCAAATATCAAGGAGCACAGACAGACAAGGCTTTTCTCTATGTTTACACTGGTGGTAGGAGTAAGAAGGAAATGGCTGGGCTGGAGCGATAGCTCACTGGATAAGAGTGTGTACTGTTCTTGCAGAGGATCCAAGTTCAGTCAGTACCCATGTCAAGCATCTCTCAATCAGCTGTAACTCCAGTTCCACGGGATCCAACACCCTCTTCTGACCTCTGTGGGTACCTGCACGCATGTGAATATATACACATAAAATACACACATACACACACACACACACACACACACACACACACCTAATTGATATAAATGAAACAAATCTTTAAAATAGAAGTAAGTGGGGTGGGCATTACTTATGCAATTTTACAAGGAAATGGGGTGATGAGAGTTTAGTGGTGCCAAAGCTTCTGCCTGAGCGCAAGGCTGCAAAATCTCCATCTAGACACTGGTCTCTGTAGAAGATCCTGGAGCAGCTTCCAGAATGCAGAGCTCAGAAAAGCTAAAGAAGAGCTAGAAAGCCCATGTGTGGGAAGGGTAAGGCCAGGGTAGGAAGTGGACTGAAGGGCCCTGCTTAGCCTGAACTGTGCTGTGTCCCCAGCACTCAGTCAGTCCTCAGTGAAGAAATGAATGCAGTCTGGTCAAGGAGCAGAATATTCCTAAATTACAAGACTGTATTTATGTCATACAAAGACTAAGAGGAGCAAAATCTTTATATTACAAATATTTTTGTATTTTCTGAAAAAGAAAAATTCTCCCTTGGGGACCTTTACCTTTTATTTTGGTTTATATATCTGTGAGCCAAACAAAATCAATATTGTTGATATATAAATACTAGACTAGAGGTGATATGACATGTAAGTTTGGATTAGGTGCTCAAACACTGATTTTTATTTGAGAACTAGGTTACACATAAATTTAATACATTGTAGATCTTAGCAAATAAAATTGGAATCTAACATCTAGAGACAATTTAAGTGGGAGGTGTGGCTCAGTTGTGGGACTATATGTTTAACATGCTTAAACCCTGGGATTGGGGCTCAGTCATCGGTACCCAAATAACAAACAAATATAGACTTAAATACATTGCATTATGTAGTAGAAAGACAATGAATTCTACAGACCTTGGGAATCTCTTTGTAATAATCATTTATAACAATATGTACATTTCCTACTTTAAAGAGAAAATATCCTTCTTTGTTTCCCTCCTTGGAAGCTGCCGTGACAAGTTTGCAGGGAGAGGAGAACAGTAACTAGGAATGATGAAATACAAATAATTTCCTTCTTAAGCATTCTAAAATGGCATACTCCTGAACCTGACCTGAGATGCACACTGTGTGTACTATCACCAAATGCAGAAAGCACCAGCCAGTGCAAACCAATGCAAGAGGAAAGCAAGAAGAGAATGCTAACTGACACTGTCTGTGGTGGAATCTGACCAAGGGGAAGCTGTTAGGTACTGAATTAATCACATAATGTTAATGCAAATGGCCTTGAAATTTTATTAGCTATAAAAAGCCTATGAAGTTCTAATTATTGAAAATGTGCATCACAATTGCAAAGCCTGGAGCCAAACAAATAGAAATGGATTGGAGAATGGAGTGGTTAGGGTTGGGCTGAGTTTCTGAAGGGAATGACCTTGGATGTTAAAGGGCAGAGGTCCTGCTGTGAGCAATTTGAAGAGATATGTCTAGTTTCATCATAAACGCTTTTCACAGTACAGAAGGCTTCATAGTTTACAAAACTCCTTCACCTCTATTATCTCCTTTAATCCTTAGAATAGCTTTGTGGGTCTTTCCAGTCTGTTCAGCTATAGTGATTTTTAAAGCTCAAATGCTAACCCTCCAAAAACGAATGAAAACCTGAAACTTAATAAAAAGAATAAATATTGTGTCCAGTGTGGTGGGGCATGCCTTTAATCCCAGCACTCGGGAGGTAGAAACAGATGGATCTCTGTGAGATCAAGTTCAGCCTGGTCTACATAGCGAGTTCCAGGCCAGCTGGGGCTACAGAGAGACCCTGTCTCTGAAAAACAGTATCACCTATCTTCTGATCATGCAGGCAGTTCCATTTCTGTTCATAAGTACTGAAAATGTGCTGTAAACATTCAGAGTAAAGTTAAGAACAATGGCGAAGGAACCTTCTAATTTCCCAATTGAAGATTTGCCTTCAAATATGAAAAGATGCACTTAGAAAGCCCAGCAAGAGCATGTTTGTGGCTAGGGAAGTCCAACTGGAATTAGGCTTCATGGGGAGTTGGCCATGCTGCTGTTCCCTGAGGGGCCCAGGCCTCTGGTAGACAAGGACTGCTGCAGGGGGAGTCTCTGAGCCCCTTTTAAATGCCTCTTAGGCTAGTCATTGGACAGAATGCTAGAACAGAGATGTGCAGGACAAACAAACCCTCCTGGAGGACCACTCAGACCATACTGACTCCAACTCCTGCCGGGGTGAGAGCCAGGGCAGGCAAAAGCCTCCTGAGAACAGCTGCTGCCAGGAGGGAGTGGGGAGGAGCAGCCTGGCCCTAGCTAGGCTCCTTAAGAAAATGGAGCAAGCAGGGACACCGCACAGGAGCACATGACTGGAGCGCCAAAGATAAATTGACTTCCTGCAGCCAGGGTCAAATCTAACATGGAAGGTTGTCAAGGAGACTAAAGCAAACTGCCTGTGAATGAGACTAAAAGAACACCAACAATGACCCATATTGTGCAAGCTTTCAAATGACTAATAATGATAATATGAATCCCTACATAAAAATCTTTGTGGCCCAGTATATACAAACTTGTCTGATCACCATGGTAATCGTGTGTAGTGGTGTCCAGTGGTATCCCTGGCTTCTACTCAGGAGTTTCAGTAGCTCCTTCCCAACACACACTAGTTGTGACATTCAAGAGTGGCTCTGGTTCCACAGCTGACCACATGACACCAGACAGAGTCTCAACTCCAGGACTGGCTTCATTGTTTCTCAGTGAAGCTTTGTCTCTGTAGTCAAGCACTGGCAATTCCCATTGGTAGGAAGAATGTCTTTTTATTCTTCACAACAATACTTTCTTACCTTTTCTTTTATAAATCCACTATCTCTTGTTATTTTGGGTTGTTATTTCACTTTGATATGAAAGCGTGAAATGTTGATGACAATTTTAGCAGCTTGTGGCCTTTGGACTTTCCCAAGAATAAGAACTCCTCCAAATCTTATAATCCTGTTGTCTGGGGACTGGGCCTGAGATGATATAATTTCACATAGATAAGCTTTTATTAGACTTACATAAGTACTGAGTATAACAGTTTACTAATGTTATACTATAGATTCATTTCAAAGAAAAAAGAAAAAAATAAGAAGTTAGACAAAATAAGAAAATTGCTCAAAGTCGTGCTTTCTCCTTTTAAATGGCATCCTGTGATGGTTGTTACCTTTCTGCCTCGTTTCTGATATGATGGTACTCTCCAAGAAAATTGCTGGGAAATGTGGCAGGGAAAGTTAATAAGGATGTTTTGTGCCATCTGAAAACTCATTTCATTCAGGTGACATTAATAAAGGATTCCATTGCAGCCCTAAGTTGCTATGAAGCATCTAGACACAAGCTCTGAGTTCCCGGACCATAAAATCAGTTGTCACATGTGCTGTGACAAGAATAGCACAGTCCTGGGAAAAAAAGGACTACAGTGACAATACTCTGTCATTATTGCTGGGTGGTTACCTGCCTGCTTACTTCTGACCCATGACTGATTGGGTTTGGTACCTCCCCCGAGGTTGCAGCTGCAGCTGCAGTGGCCTCTGTTACTTCAGATCCCTGCCTGCTTGGTCACTGCGCAAGCCCTTAATACCCTCCCTCAGTCCATATTCGCTTTGTCTATAGATAATCAAAACTGAAATTAGTACAGTAGAAGACTCTCCAGGAGTCTTTGAGATAAGGAAGCACAGGCCTTTAGAACTGATATCGTTCATTCAAAGTCATACAAAAAACAAGTGTCTGAACAGGAACTAGGCTCTGTTCTTTCCCTCAAAACACACTGTTTTAGAGGGCCTCTCCCAGTACATTATCACCAATGGACAATTACCGTATCAAATTATATATTAGTCACTTAGAAAAGAACAAGTTCCTAAGTGAATTTTGAAAATTAGAGTAAGTGAAGAAAACTGTAAGTCAGAAGATTCTAGCTATCCAAAAGCTCTGTGTCCCCCAGAGAGGGGTCCCCAAAATGATTAAGTGCCAAATGTGCTATGATAGAAGGAGAATAATGGTAATGGTGATGATGATGGTAATCATGGTGATATAGTGGTAGAAATGATAGTGCTGAGGGGGATTGTGGTGAAGGTAGGGATGGTGGTGATAATGATGGTCATGTGGTGGTGATGATGGGGATTGTGTTGATAATGGTAGCAGTCTTGGTATTGTGATAGTGGTGATGGTGATGGTGATAATGATGGTGATGTGCTGGTGCTATTCATGGCAATAGTGGTAACGATGGTGAAGGTGATTGTGGTAAGGGTG